AAATCAGAAAAGGGGTTTGTAGGGCTGGAGGGAGCGGGGAAGAGAGGACAAAATCCAAGCAAAGTGTGCTAGAAGCCATCTGGGTTCACTGTAACCTCAAAAGATCAAATGGTGACTGGACCAAGGGTCGCAAAGTCAAGTGACCATAGGACCTGGCAGGCAAGATCCTGAGGGGGAGGACATCAGCAGGGGCACTTTGAGCATGTAAGGGCTCATTCCCCAGAGACAGGGCAGCTAAAACTGCTGGATGGTCCCTGCTTGGTACCAGCAGGTCTTCCCAACGTTCAGGATAGGACCCGGATCTGGATTCTTATGTGAAGTTTCCTGATGTTTTTAAGGCAAATAAAACTAGAGATCTAGTTTGGAAGCTGAACAGTCCTTCACAAGTTTGGCATGGAAAACGGAGCCCTCCCTCTTCCCAATCTCCCAAATAAGCCCCCAGAAGCCTTCTTTTACTCCCCAGCAGTGTAACAGAAAGAGCTGTAGCTTCAGTTCCGATCAGATTCAATGTGAACCCCAGCTCTACCCCATCACTCACTGTGTGAGTCAGGACAAGTTAATTAAACTGTCTGAACTTCATTATCCTCCTACCTGTGGGAGAAAAAAGAATTTCTAGGTCGCAGAGTTGCAGGGAGGGATGCTTGAGAAATCAAATCATGTGAGGACTTCAGAGTCCAAGACAAAGAAAACACTGGTACCTGGGAGCACTGTTCCCACAACCATAACCAAGGCAGGAGCAAGGAAGACAGCCCCAGGAGGCCAATGAGGGTGGCTGGAGGCAAACAGGAGGCCCCTGAGTAGCGATAGCATCTCAGCCTCAGGAAGGACTGGGAACCTGGGCCTGCCACAAACACCACATTCTCCAATGGTTTCATCAGCTTTGAGCTGGAGAGCTGGAGGTGGCAGGGCAGGATTCTGGCCCAGGAGCAGCCCTGGAACCAAGCCCTAATTCCTCTGCAGCAAGCCGCCTCTTGCAACACCCTGCAAGTGCTGGACACGCAGAGAATGCAAAGCTTCCTGGGGCACACCATGCAGGGATCCCAGGCTGAGTGCAGGGGGTGGAGACAAGCTGAAGCAGGCTGAGCACAAGTGCCAGTCACAGGACTCCTGGAGGGCAGCTGAGGCCACAGAGCACATAGCAGCATCAGCAGGAACAGGTGCAGGAGGACACAGGGCAGCCATGCAGCAGGCACCTCACCTATCAATCACAGCACACAGAAAGAGGTTGGTGCACCTGGGCAGGCTGCTCCCGCAACCGCACCCCCACCTCCCAATATGGACAAATCCTCACACTCACATCATCTGCCATGTGGAGGGTGAGGAAACTGGGAGGCTTCTGGAGTCCAGGAGTCAGCCAAAGACTAGCTTCAGGCCTCCACCATAGCACCTAGGGGGCAGGGCAGGGGCTTCCATTCCCCTTGAGCTGGGAAACTCATTTTAAAATGCTGAGCACTAACTGATGAGCTTTGCAAACTCTGGCATCAGTTCTGTGTCCATGTCCACCTTACTCCCTCTGTCCTTCCTATAACAGACTTGTTTTTTGTTGTTGTTGTTGTTGTTTTTAAAGTGAGAGTTGTCTGAAATTGCTGCCCCACTTCCTCCTCTCAAAAGTATTACTCAGACTCTGTCACCTGCCCTGAGCAGGCCCAGCACAGCACACGCAGCACGGGCCACACCACCACCTGCCCCTGAGGCCTGCACGACAGCCCGGTGCTGCACTGAGTCCCTGGATGTCCCACAGGATGAACTGCCCAGCAACTCTTTCTGGGCAATCCTCAGGGCTCTCTGGCTGCTACACCACATGCACTGCTCCCTGGGACTGCACCTTAAAATACCCATGACAGTCTGGCCACTGGCTCCACCATGGACTTCACCCCGGACGTTCACATTAGATCCCACAGCTGCTCCGAGCACCTGCTTTCTGCCGGTGGAACATCTGCTGAGGTAGCAGAAGAGACAAGGCAGGAAACCACCAGCCACACCGAAGCACCACATCACTCACCAAGCCCGGAGAGTCTCCCTGATCCCAGGAAACTCCAAAACCACTCCCGAAATAATTAGAATCCCAAATCTTCCATAGGATTTCACCAGGAATTCAGAAAATGGGAACGTAGGTCCTGAACAAGCACAAATCACCAGACACATCTAGTGCCTCTGGATTAAGGTCCCAATTCCAAAAGAAGGAACCTGTAACCTAGTCACACTCTTCACAAGCAGTGAGTGGCCCTTGCCAGGCTCAGGAGGGGGGCTCTGCTGTGGCCCCTGTACTTGGACGCCTGCCTCTAAAGAGGAAGTCGTCCTGTGCACCTTCTCCTTGGTCTTGGGAACTCATGCTTGTGGCACAGTGAGACATCTGCCTGGCTTTGTTCCCTTTCTGTGCACGCTTTTCCCCTTTTTCAACTTGAGATATAATTTCTGTGGTTTGTATTCATGATACGAGGATGAGTCAGTGTTTTTCACAAACGGGAGAGGCTGGCGCACCCGGACCTAACGCACTCTCCTCTCCCCAGTAAGCTCCCTGGCGCCCCGCCCCACAGCCAGCGAACACTCTCTGCTTCCTGCCTTCCCAGACTTGCATTTTCTGGACATTTCACCTAAACGGCCTATGGCCTTTCATGTCTGGCTTCTCTTCCTTGCCAACTGTGTCTGAGATCCAGCCCCACATTGGCTGGACTTCACCTCCTCCCATTGCTGAGTAGCACCCCATCCCCCCGTGACAGTGCCACACTCCATCTACCACCAGCAGTCCCCAAGTTCTGCCATGATCTACTATGAACCTCCATGTGTGAGTGTCCACGCGGCACCTCTTTTCTTCCATTGGTGAATGTATACCTAGGGGTAGGACCACTGGCTTATCTGAAAAACTGAGGCTCAACTTTTCCAGAAACTGCCCAGGTGGTTCCAAAATTCTCATCAGCACCATGCAGGGACCCCGTTTCTCCACATTCTCAGAAACACTTGCCACCATCTTTTATTTATAGGCATCGCTGAAGATGTGAAGTGGTGACAGCTGTGGTCTTGCTTGGGTTTCCCTGCGGATGAATGAGGTTCAGGGTTCCTAATGGTCTCTCAGTGAAATGACCAGATAATCTGTTGACCAAGTGGGTCATTTTCTTTTTAATAAGAACCCTCTCTGATATTCTGAATGTGAATCCCCTACCAGAAAAGCGGGATGCAAGCCCCTCACCCAGGTTCCGTCTGGGCCCTCAGCCAGCTCTGTGCTCTCATCACCTCTACCAGCTTCTGCTGGGGAAGCCCCAGAGGACAGCAGGGACAGGACATCGGCACAGGTTGGGACAGAGAGGCCTAAGGTGACAGGTGTGCTGCTCAGGTCACTTTCCTCAGTCACTCTCCCAGGAAATGATCGTGCGTAAACAAAAGCGTGGTTTCGCCTCCCTGTGATCTGGTAAAAACTAACACAAGGCCTCACCGAACAGGGGGGACACGGAGAGCCTCATTATTGCCTCTGCTGCAGTGACCAAGACCATGCCTCTACACGCCCACCGTTTGCCACACCCTGTGCCTATTCAAGGGGCCTAAACCCTCAGAATAGCTAATTGGGGTGTTCCTGAAATTTCTAAAAGCCTTTCTTTTCTGTCTACTACTAAGTTCATACCGAATTGCAGGTGACATTAGCAAACGGAAGTGAGATTACGATGACAGGATGCAGACCTCTCAACTCTTGACTTACTTGTTTTTTCCTCCCAGGGGCCCCTTCCCTTCTGCCTTGGAAAACCTGCCGACAGGAGCCAGTGGCCTGCTGCACCTGAGGAGTGCGGCCACTCAGGTCTCGGCAGCTGTGTGGTGTATGAGCGACAGCAGTTAGGGACACCCAAGACCCGCGTGGCACCCTTGGAGCAGGCAGCTCCGTGGGCTGCACACCGACCAGAGCACCTCCCTGGATGTCCTCTCTGGCCAGTGCTGGGAAGAAGGGCAGGGCAAGGTGTTCCACAGCTCTCAAAACCGCACACACATACGATCTTGGCTTATCGTCACCAAAATGTGGCCAAGCATCTAAATACATCTCAATGCTGTATTTAGCCAGAGTGAGACACTCAAACCTAGTCAGCGGCCCCACTTTGGAGGACCATCCTTAAGTCCATGGAGACTCTGACAGATGTTACAGTCCAATGCAGAAGGGTCATGTTGCCTGCAGGTGTCACACAGCTGGTGAGTAAACGGGCAGAACCAGAACCCAGAGAGCAGGAGGTGGCGGCGCAGGGTACATCCAAGCCCATAAAGCTCTCAGGATGCCAGTGCAGGCCTTTCCCCAGTGTGAGAACAATGCCACTTGGACACGCGTCCCAGCACACGTGCGCTTGTTTACACCTGCTCAGGTCAATACAAACCCAGCACCACCATCAAGGACAAAACAGAGGAGACAGGGGTCACAGAGAGGCAGACAGGCAAGACTTCTGAGGAGACACTGAGAACCAGCCTTTGTGACTCGCCCTCCAGTGATGCTACGCGCCCTCCAGTGATGCTACGCGCCCTCCTTCCACCCCGCAGGAGAGTTACTGCCTCTCCTCTCTCAGAAGGGGACACTGGGTCACAGAGCTGTTGACCAACTTCCCAGAGGTACACAGAGGGTTCCAGGGGGAGAGCAGGCACAGGAACAGCCTGCACTTCACAGCAGGTGCATGAGGGCACAACAAGAGACCACTTGTATGGTACGGCTGTCCACGTCCACAGCATGTGCTTTCTGAATCCTGGTGGCTGATGACTTTGCTACTGAAAAGTTAATATGTGGTATATTCAAAATCCTGCTGGCACAGATCTATGATCCCAGCTACTCAAGAGGCTGAGACAGGAGGATCACAAGTGCGAGGTCAGCCTCAGCAATGTGGCAAGACCCTGTCTCAAAATAAAAAAAATAAAAAGGGCAGGGGATGTAGCTCAGTGGTAGAGCACCCCGAGTCCCAAACCAAAGAAAATCATTCCCAACTGTTTTATTGTTTGTTAGGTTTTTTTGTAATTTTTGCCATTTTTCTTTTTTCTAGAAATCAAATCAGGAACCGCCGATGCTGATCCGACGCCTCGGCCGTCCCCCGGAGCGTCCTGACATGCATTTTTGCTCACAAAGCATCACTGAAGAATGGGGCTCAACTTGACACTTGCCAGACTACCAAGTAAGCTGTCGTGGGGAAAGAGGTGGGGGTGCTCCATCAGTGACTTCTCTGCACTGCGTGCAATTTGGGGTCCCTCATGATTACAGGACCACTCACCAACCAGCTGTTAGCCTCTCTTCTAAGAAAGAAGCGGCAACCAAGAAGGATGGTGTCCCCAGGGTGACACCCTTGGGATCACTGCTTTAGACTGGGCTTCACCTAGACACTGCCTCTGAGGGGACAAAACCAACCCCCTGGAGAAAGACTGCAAAACCAAGCAAAGGAAAGCAAAGCACAGCTGACTGTCCACATGGGTGGTCTAGACCAGGGTCGCTGAAGCCCCCCAGGGACACAAGGCAACCTTGACCCCTCTGCTGTGCCACATTTGAGAGCTCCTACAAGAGCCACTGGGGCAATAGTGCAGACTCGTAATCTGTGTGACTTCATGCCCACATGGCAGGGAGAGCAATGACATAGGTTGGCACTTTCATATTTTTTGCCAGAGAGTGACACACCCCAGTTAGCAACAATGTTTCCCCACAATCAGAGGTGCCAGAACTCTCCACCAGTCCCTATCACTCCCAGTGTGGCCCTGTCAACAAGACAAACTGAATCTAGTACCTTAGATCACAGGACGCACACACACCTCCTATGGACCAGATGCTATGCTCAGAATGACATGTGTCCCACTTGGACATGCGTTTAACCCTCAGGAGCCAGCAGGACAGCTCTTACCCACTCAGTTTCATTAAGCGTTATCATTTGGGACTTTCTCCAAATCTGCAATGGCCAATAAACAGCCACATGGGGATTGAGTAAGGAATGCACACACTTGAAAGAGGTAATGCAGAGGAGAAGTGGAATTTGTTCCTCTGCTCAGCTGGACTTTAATTTTAAGTGACGTGTGGTTAGCTCTGGATCTGCCCACACAGCCCACAAAGTCCTCCAATTCACACATGCGTGCACAGAGGACAGATGCCCATTCCGCTACAAGCAGCCAGACCCCCACCTGTCACACACCTCTGTCACACGCACACACACACACACTCTCTGCCACCTGTGAGTCATACACAGGTAACTTCTTATGGAACCAGGGTTCTCATATGGCCATCCTTTTGCTGGGGAAGGTGTGGGCAGGTCCAGCGGTCTTGCTCTTTGCTCCCCATGTAGTCTTCATCACACCTGCACTAAACAGGCAGGCACCCCACCCTGAAAGCAACAAATATAGAGACCAGCAGCCCTTATGTGGCAAAAGCAGCTTCGAACTTCCCTCAGGTGACACCCCAGGCAGCTCTGCTTGGCCGGGTCTTTCTCAGCACGTGACAGAACGGCCTGGTGAAGGAAGCCATAGGGTTCCCATGATCATGCCCCTGAGTGGGGACACGCAAGTTCTGAAAAGCACAGGGCAGTTGCAGAGGAAGGGCTGACACAGACCAACCCTGAAAGCTGGCCAAACTCTCCAAGTTGTCCGGAGCCACAGGCGTGGGCTTCACCTGTTCCTAGGCAGCTGTGTTTGGCCCTCCACTACCTGGCTAGCTCACAAACAACCCTGCACAGGTTTTAACAAGTAATCTGCTTAAGCTGTGCTGTCAGCGTGGAATGGGGGATGAAGTAAACCCAGGTCCAGGCCTCACTAGCCGAGTTTAACAAGACCTATGTTCCAATGTTCATCCCCATGTACACAAAGGAAGCCACTATTGTGGAGGTAACAAAATCTCCAGGCTGGACACCAGACTGACTCGAAGCCACAGAACGGCTCCACACCACTATGGAGTGGAGCCCTATCCTGCTGGGCAGTGGAGCCCTGTCCTGCTGGGCAGTCTCCATGTACAGAACTGAGTACACACACAGACGTCTCTTGGCACTCTGATTTAAGGCTCCATCTTTAATAACATCCCTAATTGCTAGGTAGATGATGGTCTAATAGGAGTGCTGGTTCATATAATTAAACTCTAAGATATTATAATGACATAGAGAACAGACTCACAATCCCCAAGGGATGTTGGGAGCAGGGTGGGATATCCATTCCACTGTGGATTTGCACACAGAGCCAGGGGCAACAGCAAGAGCTGAAACACCCCACACCCAGTCTGCTGGAGCCCCAGAGCCCCCACTGGCTTTTCAAAAGCTCTGAAACTCAGTGCAGAAGCAACTGTCCCAAGGCACAGTTCAAGCTGGATCCCTAGGTTGGACCCTTCAACCCCTCTTGCCTCCCTAAGGGCTCCGCTCTGGAAAAGATGAAAGTTATTGCTAGTCATTTAATTCGGTAAATCAATTCAAGCAGATATCTAACCCTGGTTAAAAGTACACTTCTGAGAAGCTTCTAAAGGCTTTGATGTTGATTTGGGTCTTCTGGTGCAAAATCAGCCTAGACCACAACACTTTATTAAATAAAATAGGCTTGAATGATACTGATCAAGACAATATTTGAAACTGGCAGCAGTAATTCGGTTGGCAGCTGAATCAGGCATTTAAACGTGTAAAGCTTATTAATACTGTGGGTCTCATAACAGGCTAGTCCAGGGACAAATTAGTAGCCTGTGCAAGAATATTTAGGCCAGGAAAACCAGTTTTTAAAACACGGCAAGGATAAAGGGAGAAGAATTAGCATGAGGACCAAGCTGATCAGGAAGAACCTGCACTGAAATTCCAGGCAGCAATTTAAGAACCTGTTTTTGGATCATAATCACCAAAACAATCTTTCCTAGTTCATTTCTTCAAAGAAGGAAAACAAAATACATCCTACAGTGACTATCGTCTAGAGAAGTGTAGGTACAATCACACCAAAACCTAAACAAGACCGTTCTAAAACACAAACGCAACCATAATAAATACTATTAATTAGCAGGAAGTAAAAATTCAGAAGTGATCTTCTTCTTAAAAAGTGAATTTGTAAATTGTGTTAGTCAGGGCTCTCTAAAAGGGCAGATGGCAAATTGAGACCAAATGGCCAAGAGCCTCACTGGGGGAATGGGCTTCAAGGGAAATTGGGTAGAGGCCAGAGTGAGAAGTGGCCCTCAGACAGCTGTGAGGAAAGAGGGGCAGGCTGAGGAGTCAGAGCCAGAGCACAGCCCAGTGGGAGGCTCCCAGGACACTGCTCAGGGACCTCTAGCCACTGGCAGGAAGCACAGCAGGCTGGTCTGAGCATCCAGCCCCATGCAGTGACGGGCTGGGAACAGTCCTAGGGAGCAAGCAGGAAGGTGGCGGCGGGTATAGAGCTACAGAGCCACAGTCGTCCCTCCACACTTCCCACACACGGGATCAGGGGACATTTTCATGGCTGGCACATAAATGCTTGTAAACCATTTCCATGACCATGTGGTGGATGGTATGAGAGAATTCTTCAGTCACATGAGCCAAAAATTCAAGAAAGCTAAAATTTTTTAAAACTCATGCAATAAGCATGAGAGGTATAATCTAGCCTTGTAAATAAGACGACTGTAGCAGGCGGCAATTACTTTAACAAGCTGCGTTCCTTGGTCGTACACTTAAATACTAACAAGCAGAAAACAAAATCAGCGCTTTTCCACTGGACCACACAGCAGTGTTTGACTGTGGATCTTCTCAGCCATGCAAACATATTTTACGAAACATATACTAGACGGAGTATGACAGTTAGGGATGACTGTAATCCAAGCCCGGGTTATCTTAGGGATTTCGCACCTACCTATAACTTTATTACTTCCACAATAATGACAATGGACCTAGAAGAATGAGCAAGTCAGTTTACTTCTACCCTAGACTTTGCTGTACTTTAGAAGACAAATTTTCTTTTTATTTAAAAAAAATTTTTAATATTTATTTTTAAAGAATCACAAGTATTATAAGGAATTCACAGGCAAAAATTCAAAATAACTCCTTCCCCACTCCTGACGACCGCACAGCTTAAACCAGGTACGCTGGGGGTTGGGGACCTGCAGAGTGCGGCAAAGACCAGGGAGAAATCACCATCCCACTGGATGTTACTTTCTTGTTATAGGAAATTTCAATTTTCTTCCTTCTGTTTGTGATGCTGACAAACACTGAATTAAAAGTCAGGGTAATCTACAGTGATAACGCCCATTTTCAAAAGGCCAAGTCACTGAGAATCAGGAGCATGACTTTTCACTCAGGACCAGGTGTGGGGGAAGGGAGGCCACCCACTCTCTAGCCTCTCAAAACATTAACAAAATGCTAAATTGGTTCCTAAATTGCTGAGGTCACCCCTAATCCCACTCCCAACACCGCAGCGCATCCATAGCTCGGGGGCCCTGGCAGGTGAACATGCCATTCACTGATGTCCCCTGCTTCACTTCTCCTGCAGATGACGGGGCTCACGGCCAAGGGAGTCTCACCTCAAGTAACTCCAGTGCTGGGTTCCGAGCGAATGCCACCCTGCACAATGAGTTTGACACTATCATCCTGCCTGTGCTCTACCTGGTCCTGTTCGTGGCCAGCATCCTGCTGAACGGGCTGGCAGTGTGGATCTTCTTCCACATCAGGAATAAAACCAGCTTCATATTTTACCTCAAGAACATAGTGGTGGCTGACCTTGTCATGACACTGACGTTTCCCTTTCGGATTGTGCACGATGCAGGCTTTGGCCCCTGGTACTTCAAGTTCATCCTCTGCAGATACACGTCGGTTCTGTTTTATGCAAACATGTACACATGCATCGTGTTTCTCGGGCTGATCAGCATCGACCGCTACCTGAAGGTGGTGAAGCCCTTTGGGGACTCGCGAATGTACAGCGTGACCTTCACAAAGGTGCTGTCTGGCTGTGTGTGGGCGGTCACAGTTCTGCTGTCCTTGCCAAACATCATCCTCACCAACGTTCAGCCCACCCAGGAGAACATCCATGATTGCATGAGGCTCAAAAATCCGCTAGGTGTCCGGTGGCATCGGGCTGTTGTTTACGTCCACAGCTGCCTGTTCGTGGTGGTGCTGGTGATTTTGATCGGCTGCTACATTGCCATTTCCAGATATATCCACAAATCCAGCCGGCAGTTCATCAGCCAGTCTAGCCGGAAGCGCAAGCACAACCAAAGCATCCGGGTTGTTGTGGCTGTGTTCTTCACCTGCTTCCTGCCCTACCATCTGTGCAGGATCCCCTTCACCTTCAGCCACCTGGACAGGCTCCTGGATGAGTCCGCACACAAGATCCTGTACTACTGCGAGGAAATGACGCTTTTCTTGTCTGCGTGCAACGTTTGCCTGGATCCAATAATTTACTTTTTCATGTGCAGGTCATTTTCAAGAAGGTTGTTCAAGAAATCCAATATCAGAACCAGAAGTGAGAGCATCAGGTCACTGCAGAGTGTCAGAAGGTCGGAAGTCCGCATATATTATGACTATACTGATGTGTGAGGCTGGGGCGGGGGGTATCCCTGTGGGGGTTCTTGTACAGAGTGTAAATAAATGTCACTTTCCATTATTGTGGCTGGAGCCCATCAAAATATGAATTTAGAAAAGAACCACAGGAACGTGAAAGTGGGCATAATTTGGAACTGAGAAAAGCAGTCAGGCACAGCGAAAAGTGAAGTGGCAGGGGCTGCCCCCAACAGGGCACCGCAGTTTCCCCCAGAACCCGTTGCAGCCCCCAGGTCACTTTTGCAGAGAACACAAGTATAAAGAGAAACCTCTTTAGCCTTGAGGGTTAAGATATTGGGAAGACTGCCAGGTGTGGTGGTGCACACCTGTAATGCAACAGCTCAGGAGACTTAGGCATGAGGATCGAAAGTTCAAAGCCAGCCTCAGCAAATCAGCAAGGCGATAAGCAATGTAGCAAGACCCTGTCTCTAAATATTTTTTTTTATTTTTTTTTAGTGTTGGGGATGCAGCTCAGAGGTACAGCACCCCCTGAGTTCAATCCCCAATACAAAAACAAAGATTTGGGAAAGACAAGGCTGTTTTCAAACAGCCCATTATTTATAAGTGAGTCAATATTGATTACTAGGCCTTCCAAGACCTCTGGCCAATGTCCCCTGGCTGTGCTTAACAAGGTCTTATGCACATAAGAAAAATTGTGTGGTGGGAGGAGTGGGAAGAAGTTCAGCTGTAAAAGCAACATATTGAAAATGGCAAGTTCAAAAAACTGATTTTAAATAAGCTACTCCAGAGAAAATGTGATTGAATATTAAGAAAAGACTACATTGGATATAGTCCTCTGAAGTGACATTTCCCATTATTATACTACCTTTTCGATGAGTTTAAGTACTCACATACTAAAGGAAGAGAAGAAAACACAGAGGCTTAACTAATAAGTACATTTCATTCATCAGTCACTTAATAATCTTTTTACTTTAGGAAGACTATTAGTAAAATGTTCTTCCCTACAATTATTCCCAACCTCTAATAGGAATACTGGTGTAAAACTATAGCTTAGATGAAAGGCAAAGCTCACTGTCAAGTCAAAATGTATAGGAGTGGCCTCTTAAATCTCAGAATGTTTCCTTTCTTCAATGTGCACCTCAGGGGTTCCTGCGTTAGCACCACCCCCAGCTGTGAGAGCCAGGAGGAATGCCAGGTTTGTTCCCAGCCCTAGGAGGGAGAGGGGAAGCACGGATGGAGGACCAGGGGCAGGGGGGCAGTCTGCTGCCTAATAGAGCGCGCTGCAGTTTCAAGGAGAGGGGACGCAAGGAGAGGGGACCACACGTGCACAGCACGCACGTACTTCACCCCGCACTCCTGAGCTGTCTGAGGAATTCTAAGTCAGAAGCTGAAAGTGAACAAAACTTAGGGTGCAAGAGTAACTTATGCAGGGTGATCTCCCCCTACCCTCAGGCACCCCAGACTACCAGCAAGTGAGGTCATCTGGCAGAGGAGTTGGTGGGAAAGGAGTTAAAACAATTATCTGACATCTTCTGTCAAAATATCCATCCTTCCACCAACATGTCCACTCCACACCTGCAGGGGGCATTAGAATACGTAACTGCACACACCGCACCTGGTCATTCACTGGCCACCCTGGTTGCTCTGTGCCCCTAGCTGGATTAGGAAAGATGTGCTATAGATGAGCCAATGAGGTGCTGGTAGGAAAGGCTAAGGTCTCTTCCTTCCTCTCCAGGACACTGGGAAGAATCACACCCACCCTGTGCAAGGAGGCTCAGCGTCCCAGCGAGGACAATTACCTCCTGCCACAGGACCACCCTCTCTACTGCATTTCCTTCACCTACAATCCACTTCACAGGGATGGATGCTGTTGAATATGCAGCTCCATCCAGACTGGGGGGTTTACTCCAGACCTGGCCCCATCCTCTGCTCCAGGTCTCCATTTTAGGAGGTCTTTAGAGTATTTCAAAACCCTTTGAATGTTTCTAAAATTAGAAACTTACACAAAGATGTGCCCAAAGTTATGGGCTCATCTAATGGGGTGGTGGTTTTGTTTCTCTGAAATGGCATTTAATAATCAACGGGACCTCTTAAAACAGTGACTTAGAAAAAGTAGAAAGAGAGCATTATTATCCCCATTCTTAAAAAGTCATGTGACAAAAGCCATCAAAATCACAGGCTTGTATTCCCACACTGTTGTCCCACAAATCATTTATCCAGGCAAACAAAGAATGGATCATTTCCATGAGTAAAATAATTACTATAGGAAACAGTCCAAAATATGATTCTAGTGTCAGAAAGTAGAACATAATATTCCATTAATAATAAAGAAAAAGAAAAATCTATTTAATTGCTTTTTCAAAATTGTCAATTTGGAAATATTCTCAAATATGAAATACAAAATCTCATATTCAATGATTTTGGGTTAAACAGGTCGAATATTTCTTATCTAAAATGTTTGGGAAAGAAGGTTTCAGAGTTTTGAAATATTTGCATATACCTAATGAAGTATCTTAGAGATACTCTCACAACTCACTTGTTTCACCTGTGCCTAACACACAGGGCCAGAAGGTAACAACGTACCACATTTGCTGTGGCCTCTGCGCCAACTGTATTCCAGCACCTGGGGCCAGAGGTAGAGTCTCCCACTATTGGCACTGAGTCAGGTCTTTGAGCATTTAGACTCTAGATTTGCAAATTAGGGATGCTTAATGTATATGCAATACTTTAGTATCCTTTTTACAGCAATAAAATTCCATTCTTATTCTTCCTTTTATTCAGAAGAAAAACAGAGAATTTCCTAAAGGGGATTTTGATTTTCTCCATAAAGCTGATATTCAAAATAACCCATCTTGTAGAATATCTTTCAATTTGTGTATTATTGACCCAGTTGTATTTATAAAACCTTTTGATAAATATTTCCAAATACTAGACAATATTTTATTTTTCAGCTAAAGACTTTAAGGGAACACTACCTAGGAAAATGCGTAACTGTAGATTAAATATTCAAGGCAAAATATTAAACGTGTGTGCATATGCACACAAGCGAGTACACTTTAAGAAACGCTACACTCACTGCAGGGAAATGAGATGTGCTAAGGGAAACAGAAACTCAAGGGGCTGGGAATATAGCTTGGTTGGTAAAGTGCTTGCCTCGCATGCATAAGGCCCTGGGTTCAATGCCCAGCAAAGCTGAGGATTACTCAAACCCTGAACATAAAGATTTTTCCCTGAGTAAACACAAGAAACTAACAAATCAATAAATGCTTATTAGGCACACACCATGTAAAATGACAGCGTGTTCAGCATGATATAAAACAATCTCTGGATAATCCTAAGTGACTTCCTAAAGTACTTCCTATCATCAAGGGGGGGGGGGCGGTGTGGAGCACACTCCCAGCCCACCAGCACCACCTCGTGGTAAGCATCAAAACAGGCTGAGAAACAACCTGCATGCTGCTCACAGCCTGCCACCCAGCATGGCAGCTGAGACTGTGGCTAGCCTCCCCTTAGAGGTCCATAATGTAACCTAGTCCAAGGTTCACCTGAGCTGCCTGGAGCAGGGTGAGATGGAAATCTCTGGAAGGAGTAATTAACACCTACAGGAAGTCATCATACAGCTATAAAAAGGGAACAAGAACTGAAAGGGTGGCAGTAACACAGGGATTTCGTATGAAAATGTTACTAAAAATAGTGGCTGCTCTTTCCAAAATAACAGAAAAATTAAAAATAAAGTGTAGCTTACCAATGGTTTCAACACCAAAAAAATCACCAGAACTGAAGAGGAAAGAATGAAACTTTCAGCTTTAAATAATCAAGAAACCCATAAGATTCAAAAAGCAACTTTCACTTTGAATGCTCTTAAATTTTTCTTATAAGCCACAGAAGAACTCAACTATAATGATAAAAATGGCCAATGTGGCTCATGGGTCACACATTTCTTTCCCTCTTCATTTGGAAACTAAGATAAAAGAACTAAGTTGGAAATCCCATTATTGTTTCATAGGCAAATATTCTTAGTAAACTGTCCAGTTTCTATCCTGAACTATGCAGGAGAATACCCAATGGTTTAGTCTGGGCACCTCCACAACTCTCAGAAATGCCTGATTAAATTAGCCTCACTTATAAACACAGTCACAAATGTCACCAGATTTCCCAGAGCCTCCAAGTCCAAGTCTAGGTTTACATGCTCCATACAAGGCTTTCCAACAACATTCTGGACACCTGCACAGGTACACAGGCACAAACACACAGTTCAGGTAACAGGGTTAATGGATTCTGTGAAAAAATGAGACCTCTCCCTTAAACCATGACAGTGTCTAAACAGCCTTTAAATATCTCATCCAGTGCTTCAGGGGCTGTGACGAGTCTAAACAAAACACCTTCCACACGCTGAAAGTCATCCGTCAATTACCAAAAATGAACTTTTTCCAAAAGCCTGAACTATTCGCATGCCTTTGAATGATGGCTTCTTCTTGGTATTTTCCTTATAATCCTCTTCTCTGTGCCTTGTGGATTATCGTGCTCCTGAGCTGAATCACTTGCCAACATTGTGTTCTTTGCCCCCTAAATGTCATGAATGACCTCAAGGGCCCCTTCACCCAGCAGGACCTCCAGCACGGCTCTCCCTGGTGGCTTGCCCTTTCGTCCACGCCAAGCTCACTGAAGCTGTGGGCCTGCTTGGCTAAGGTTCCTGGCCAGCCAGCATTCCCACAGCAGCTACTTCTAATAGGTTTCTCTTTACACTTGAGGAGAATTTCACTTCCCGAACTGTCCCTTTTCACTTCTTTGTGTTCATCTTCATTGGTCAACTCTCTCTTTCGATGAGGTCTTTTTGTAAAATGTCAGGCTGTCATTGCTGGCAAGCGAAGCAGCACAACCACAAGCTCTGGTGCCTGTGAGTGAACAGTGAGTAGCAGCAGGTGTGCAGGGGGCTGCTACTGAGAGGGTGTCAAAGAAGTGAGACGCTCAGTCACCTAACCATGGTCTATGAATGGGAGAGCTGGCAGTGAAGTTCATACTTCATGCAATTATGTACAGTCAATAAACCATGGTAGCTAAAACTCAATTTGTGTTGCTGAAAGATGAGTCCGTTTAAGCAAATCATG